CTCCAGTGTTACAATCCCAGATAAAACATTTCTGCACGTCCCTGGGTGTGCCAGAGCTCCTCTGGGCAGGRTGAGCTCCAGGCAACCCTCTGGTGCCTGAAATCTGTCTGATCAGGGGATTTATGGTCTGTGGCTCCAGCTTTCGCAGGCTGCTGCAAGCATGTTGGCTGAAATGTGTAACTTTGGTCTGAGCTGTGTTAAAATGCCCCGGCAGTTCACAGCTCCGCTCTTTGCACTGTCACTCACGCACTTTAACGATTGCAGCTTTGTGATSATCCAGGGTTTGGAACACAAAGCAGGGTCTCCTCCAGGAGCTGAGGTGCCAGGCAGCTTCCCAGAACTGCTGTTTAGTTGTGCCATAGAAAACCATTTTTATCCTGACAAAATAAGGAGCCTGGAGAAGAYATCAGCTGTGATAATGGAGATGGAATAGATGATGGAATAGATGATGGAAATGAGTCAAACCCTGTGCTCCTGCCTTGGGCAGGGCTCTCACTGAAGCCAGTGGGAGTTCAGCTTTTAGGGACAGATGCAGGAGTGCATTTATTTTTTTTATGTTATACAAATGTGTGATTACAGGGAACAATGTATTTCTTGGAATGAGATGCTTTAATATTAACATCATTCTCCATTACTTTATAGATGCTGCCCTGTGTAACACAAGAAAGTTTAGTTCCCCTTGAATTAAGGGTGAACTGGTAGCATCCTATTTTCGATGCTCTTTGGAAGCTTTCAACTAAGTGTTACAGAGAAATAGCACAATAGTTGGAGTTGTCCTGTACTTTTCATCACATTCACAGACCTCCACAGCCTCATCTGCACTGAATCAATGGGACTGGGGTCCTAAGCAGCTTCTCATGCCCATAAAGGAAGCCATTCTCTGCTCTTTGTTTTCTTTTGGCCTGTGGAAAGTATGGTGTTTTATTAATTTTACCTGCTGTTTTTCCATGACATACATCATGTTTCATCAGAGGAGTACACTGAAGTTTCCTGACACTTTGTTTAGATGCTTGAAATTTCCTCCACAGGTGGAAGTAGGTTTTGCCTACTTGTTAGCTGACAACTGTTGAAGTTGCAAATAAGAGTTGAGTTTTGGTAAACCAAAAAGGAAAAAAAAAAGAAAACCAAACTAAGAAGCTGTGTGTCCTGCTTAATTGATTTTATGGGTGGGTTTTTCTTCAATATCTCCTTCAGCTGTGTGAATGTAATGTTCTGTTAGAGCATCATCTGTCTGGCTCACACATGAGGATGCAATAACACTAAAGATCCTCTTTTTGCACTTGTGGTCTGACTCCAGCCCACTGCAGTCAGCCTCCCTGATCTCAGTGAGGTTTGGATCAGGTCAAACTGACAACTCAGGGTTGTCACCCATCACTTAGGGTCCCAAAGCGTCCCAAGGCTGAAACCTGTATCTAGCAAGTGTTGAAGTTTACATTGATGTATGTACTTTTGGAACACGTGCCATAAATCCAAGCAAAATGTCCATGTTTGCACTAAGGATGTTCTTGTGATAAGACTTTTCCAGCATCTTTAACAATAATGTATCTATTGAATTTTTGAGARAGGAAAAAGAATGTTGAAGACTCCTAATTTAATTTTGTGTTTCTTTGTCKAGGTTTGCTTTTGTAGAACATAGGTGGGTACAGGTGGTTTGAACTTTTAAGCAGATGTGTGCAAAGAGTGTGTGGAGAGCAGGGTTAATCGTGTGCATGCAGTAGTGAACTCACTCTGTGCCAGCCAAATGAAATGTTTGTACCATGGACTAAAGGGGGACCTTTATCATCTGACTTTTATTTGTGAACCACTCCTTAGACACAGTCCCAAGTTGAGTTAGACCATSCTGGGGTTTGTTTTGTGACCATTTTTGCGTGGAGGAGCTGCTGAGCTGCTCGATGCTGTTCTAGTCTGGGTTCCCATCACACAGGGGACATTTCTCCACGTTGGGTGCTGTGGGGAACCCCTGTACACCCCAAAAAYGAGACCAGCTGAGTGTGAACCACAGCACCCAGAATGATCCTGGCATCCTTCAGCCATGGCACTCACAGGGCCGAGGTTTTAAACCACTGAAGGTTCTTTTCATCTGCTTTAAAACCAATCACAATGCACTATCAGGTGGAAAAGTAGGAGTGTAACAATTCCTGTGGTAACAAAACACATTTTGAGGTACAACTGTAAATATTTGTCTGAAACATAGCACACGTTGCATATTAAATGATTTTAATCTTTTTTGTCTTCCATGGTTTTAAATCTAAGCTTTTATTAATTTATGAGGTTGATAAGTTCTGCAAATCTGAATGTACAGTCTGAGGTTTTTAACATTTGAAACTTTGCACACGACATGGTATGTGACCCTGAGTATGCTGTTGAACTAGGCTCTTCATGTATATGTATAAATTACAGTAGAGAATTTTCTCTGACTGCAAATTTAAATAAACTATATTGTATATGTACCTGTAAAAAAATGTGTTAAATCTATATTTAAAGATTAAAAACTTGTTAAATAAACCATATGAGAATATGCAATTCTGTTCATCTGCTGTAATTCTAGGGGGAAAAAATGCTCACAGTGTTGGTTTTATTTCATTTCCTTGGAACAATTTAAAACCTCCTCATATGCATTTTGATTTTAAGGGAGCAGTGGCAGATGATCCAATTGGTTTCTTGCTGGATGAAGAGCAGTGGCTGAACCCTGCCCTGGCTCAGGTGTGCCCAGCCCCAGCCTCTCCCTTTCCTCCAGTGCTGCCAGGAGCCCCTGTAATTTAAGGTGATTAATTGTGTGAGCAGGGCAGCTAATGAGCACTGAGCACTTCCCTTTATAACCCTAACAAGGCTCTGCAGAAGCCGTTAGCATAAATCCTGCTGCTACCTTTAGATCAGTTTTATACATTTCAGGCAATTTTTACGGTCAGTTAAATGCTGTCCCAAAGCAGGAGGAGCATTTTCTGCTGCCCCTGATCTATCTGAGCCAGATCCTTGTGCAAACATCTGTTTGAGAGCACGGGGTGTGTGCTCACCTTCCCCTGGATGCTCAAGGATGCTCAGTGCTGGTGCCTGAGGTGCC